CTAGGTTGTCATACTAAACTGGCTTCCTTTGGCAACATTTACTCTTTTTCTTCAAATGCACTCCAGATTTATCAGCATTTCACAAGCAATAATGAATTTATCCTCCCAACATTCCTGTGAGGTGGTGAAGTCTTGTGAGCCCTGTCTAATAAGGATTTAAACAAGCTGAGCAACATTGCACAGGAAGTCTATAGAAAAGGCAGGAATTGAATTCAGACACCTGGAGTCTCTGTTCAGTGCTTCACCAGCAGACTATTCCTTCTCTTCATCCATTCTAAGTTTTTAACTGTGGGGGTTCAGAAAAATGTAAATAAGCTTCAGAAGTGATAGTTCATAGTTGTGCTACCGAAGAATCAAATCCCATTTTGTTATTAACTAAAGGGGTTCAATAATTTCATATTTCAAAGGATCAACCTCTACATATTCTTAAGAACAAGAGAACATCTTTATACACGTGCTCAAAAATTATTCCTGTATTACACCTGTAAACTCTTTACTACATGGGTTGAGGTTCCTTACACTTCGGTTAAACAATTCTTTCATCATAGTTTACTAAGCTTGTAAACACTGATACTTTTTTTAATTTAGCTTAGACACAGCAGACCAGATCTGTCCTCAGTGAAACCACTGAAATTAGGGTAGTTAATATAAAATTGTTTGCTTTATCAGTTGGTAGAAATTATGTGACAAGTAAAGGTTTTATGCCACAGACTAAGGAGGTTTCATTATCTTGATAAATGTCTGCCTGATTTTTTTTTTTTAAATTTTTTTCCCCCCTCCCTACAGCACTCTTAGCCCAGATGTTGATCCAGTGCTTGCCTTCCAGCGAGAGGGTTTTGGACGACAGAGCATGTCAGAAAAGCGCACAAAGCAATTTTCAGATGCCAGTCAGTTGGAGTTCGTTAAAACACGAAAATCCAAAAGCATGGATTTAGGTAGTGAGTGATTTTTTTTTCCCTTTAATTATTTTAAATCCCAAAATATAGATTTTATAATTCCAAATGAATGTTTTATATGCAGAGATTAGATGTGAATGTGAAATGGAATGGTATGAAGTACTTTCAGCATGAATGGCTAAATGACCTCTCTATGTTCATACACTTCTAAAATGTCTACCCATTTATTTATTGTGAACCTGCAAAATAAATATAAATATACATGAATGTCATAGAAGATGAAAAAGTTAACTTAAAACATTAAAAAAAAAATCATGACCACTTCTGTTGAGTTGACATTGGGAAGATAGTAGTATTGCTACTTCATCCTGGTAACTAAAATAGCATTCACCTTTCTTTCCTATTTGGCCTTGGCCTAGCATACAGTCAGTCTTGCTGAAAATAATGAGGACATGAATGGGTGCACAAGCGGTTTATTTGAAAAATGGAAGAATAAGGAGTCCTTGTTTAGGGCCAACTGAAATATATATGCTAGAAACCCTATGTAGCAGCAATCAGGAAAGGCATTATGTTTTAAGTGCGGAAGTGATTGGTAATAAACCACTTGATAGGTGTCTATAGGTCTGTCAGTGGTTTCAGATTTTGAAGTGCAGAATCTAGTAACCTAAAACAACAAATTTTGGGACTTTAAACTTTAAGTGATCAGAATTAATCAAATGTAATAAGAGCTTGTTGCTTCATAATATTTGTGGGTATCTTCACTAAAGTTCTTAATTCACCACCTTCATGAAAGGACAGTAAGGTTGGTGGTTTTGACTTGCCTTGGCCAGTTGTGATGTCCTAACATGTAAATAACATACTGTACTTGCCTGTGATGTGAAAATGACTGACAAATTGCATGATGGTTACTAGTTTGCTGCCGTTTTTATTGGGAACATTTGCTTAATGTTGCAGATTATATGCATGAAGTGTGACATTGCCAGAGCCCCCTAACTTAAAGAGAATTGGAATGTTTGTTGCATGTGGGGCATGGGCACTAACTGGGCTAACCGTTATACATTTACCTTTTAACAGTAGCTGACGAGACTAAGCTCAGTACAATGGATGACCAGAAAACAGGTAAGAATTGACAGTAAGGCTGTTGCTATAGAAACCTTGGTCAAAGCATCTTACCACAATTACAGAACTGCCAATCAAACTGCATGGAAACATGAATATTCCAATACTTGCATGGCTGTTTTCTTTTGTTGTGGATAATCAAGTTATACAGAAGAAAAGAAAATTCTAAAGAGGTAAATATCTGAATAGTAAATTCAGATGGATTATACATTATGACTACAGGTAAACACCAGTTCCTGCTTGCTTGAAACTCATACATATTCACTACTGTTTTGATTTCCTTTTTCTTTGAAAAATCTTGAAGTCTATTCTTCTGGCCTTGAACTCTAATTTACAGTGAGATGGTTTAAAAGAGCTGATTGTTTAGCTACTACTGTATTAATACAATTTTTGAGTAATTATTTTAATTCTAAAGCTTCTATTTTTCCATTAAGTGGCCATCAACTACATATTGTAAGTCTGAGTTGTAGATTATTAGTACATGTTTATTTGCCTTGAGTATTCAAAACACAGCATAGTACTGAAACAAAAGAATATGCAAATAGAATCTGTTCCATATACCACTCATGGTAACACATGCCACACAACAATTATGAAAAATAGCTTTTAAAGCATATTTTTTATTAGTAATTAAAATAATGCACCCACTGCAATTATGATTCTTTATGATTTATTAATGCAAGTTAGCTTTTGACCTTTGGAATGCTATTTTAATTAGACTAGATCCAGAGAAGATAGTAACATTACTTATCTCTAATTATGAACAATTCACCTTTTAAACCTAAAAATATTGCATATTTTAGCATGAATCAGGGAATAGGACATTCTATACAATATTTATGATTAATAGCTTACAAGTGATTCTCCAGTTAACCACATTTTCAAGGTAAATACTGCACTGGAAACCATATGTAATGAACTGATAGGAAGATAACTTTTATGGCTAAGTACAGACAGTCAAAAACCCTGAGGCTGAATCAGTTCAGTCTTTGTAGGTTAGTCTAAACTGTAGAGATTAAACTGAGAAACACCTGGACAGGCATTCATTTCTGATTCAGGTAATGCAGCCACATACCTGCAGTGGCTCAGCTCAGAAGCCTGGGGGACACTAGAGCACAGCTAGCATGGAGTGTGTGTTCACTTCCTCTTCCTGCTTCCATATGCCTCTGGGATTTGTAGTCCACAGTTGCAGCTAGCAGTAAGTTTGAGTGAGGGAAGGCGTTTTTAACTCCCCTCCTGAGTCCCGGGCCCCAGACCCCAGATGGGGTTTGCCTTGGTGGGGAGGGGGGAAGGAGGCAGTCCCTGCCACTCCCTAACCCTTCTTAGCTGGAGCAGACTGCACAGCCCATCTGAGGGCTGGAAAGCATGCTGAGATGCTGGGGGACTGGGACTTAACTTGAACCAGGAAGGTGTTTGGGATAGAAGTTTCATAAACTGGTCTGACCCAAATCAGTTAAGTTTGATACTATATTCAACCAGGTTTATCTTAAACCAGTTTCAACCATTTTGAAACTGGTTTATGTGCACTGAACTTCTGATCTGTTACAGTTTTAAACTAGATCCAGATCACTTAAACAGGTTTATGTGTAACTTCTGTCCCTAGCCTATATGACAATAGAAGTAAATCTTTCTGACTCAGAACACAATCTAGGAAAGATTGTGTTGTATATCTATTTAACTTTACAAATTGAGTGTCCCAATGGACTAAATGCAATGGAATTACACTGTTAATAACAGAGGTAATGCGCAAGCGTTGATGGGGGGGGGGGCACAACTCCACACTGCTGCTGCCAGATGCTTGTCTGAACGGGGTACAGCCCCACTGTCAGTGCAGAAATCACCCTGCTGCCATCGTCCCCACAGCTGCTAGGCTCTGGCTCTACCTGGGCTTCAGCCTGTGCTCCACCATCAGCGCAGAAGTCTGAGGTGGTACATGTTCCCCTGTGCCACCACAATGTGTCACCAATAGTTAATAAGGTTATATGTTTATATTTTTGATGCATTGGAGCCTTACAACCAATTCTGCAACTTAAAGTAACTAGTACTCCTGGAACTAGCTGCATTGGTCATGTGCGTAAAAACTTCAAGATTGGACTCTAATTTATCCAAAATGGATTTCAATATTTTTTAGCTTGCTGTTGAATAAGAATATGACAATAACTGGCTAAAAGCCTGTATATTCAATAAGAAAATATCTCACTTAGATTAAAAGGCACATGACACTTTAATCTGCAAACCATTCTCTGTGGAAAACTGGGATTAACTCTCCTGAGGACCAACCATTTGGGTTCACCATTATACCTCTTGGCTCTTGGGCTAAATAACTAAATCAACCTTGGTGTCTGGAAAAAGGAAAGTTCATTTATTGTGTTCTTAGTTTATTTTTCCATGGTGTTAACCAGAATCTGCATGTAACCAGTGGATTTCTCCCGTTAGTAATGATGGATGTGGTAGTTTAATGAACCACGTGATGCAGTTTGTCTGAAAATTTTTATGTCAGGTTACAAAAGACAAATGTTTAATATGTTTGGTAAGCTATGTTTTGATGAACAATGTAAAGCAGAGAATTTTAGTGAGTATTTACTTTAGAAAAATAACCTCAAATGAAGTAAAAAGTGCAATTGGGTTTAATAATATTGGTTGAAACGGAAAGTAAAGTTCTCCCAACATGCGCTACTATAATAGATTTTTAATTATTTTTCTTCTGTCAGTTCACTTGAACTGTCTAATCCTTTCAGTGTTTACAGTTCATTCCAGAGGTTAGAAGCATATTCAGTAGCAATTGAGCATGGCTCACTTATCCAGCCTTAAGCGTATGGTAACTTCATTTGGTTGGCATGTCCATGTGCACCTTGTCAAGAAGCTCAAAAGTGCCTTTGAGAGCTTATGGAAATCACTTGTTTTTATTCCTGGTGAGTTTTTTTGTGTGTAGCCTCTTTAAAAAATAAAAAAGAAGCCCCCAAAACCAAAACAAACAAATACGTTTTTAGAAGTGGATGTAATTGTCAGATTGTACTTCCTGAAAGCCAGAACTGTTGCTATTACGGTATGTATCAAACTAAGAATTGCATTGGTGTTGAGAAGTAAATTAGCTTAAATATTTATTTTGGCTGTCCCAAAAACAATTAATAAAATGTCTCTTGTGGCTTTGCATAAGTTTACAAATCAGAAAGGACAGATTTTTATCTACTCAATATCTGATGCTTTGTAGTTGCATTATTAGCTTTTAACCATTTATCATAAAATGTTGCAGGAATAGGAACTGGGAAGTTAACTCCTTGAATTTAGCTGCTGATGATATTAGTTTTGTTGTTAACGTTTTCAGATTCAAAATAATTTTTAATAGTTGGAGTATTAAATAATTTAAGTGAGGAACTTCAATTAAAATTAATTTTATGGACCTTTTAAATTAACTGGTGATAAAGGAAACATCACACATCCTCTGACTGAGTGTGTGTGGATTTTTTTTGTCTTTGCAAATCACCAGCAAAGTTATGGCAGCATATCAATTCTTAACATATTATCAAAGGAGGAGAAAGTCTAGTTTAGTTGTAAGAGCAGGGAAACTCAACATCAGGGAAGGGAAAATAGAGTCTGAAAGAAGTAAAAAGTATGCATAATATTGAGGAATATGTCTCCATGGGTACACATGTTCTGTGTGGTAATATAGATGCTTGTGCAATATATATGCATGTAAATGTGAAGGTTTTTGTATCTAGTGGCAAAAAAATGAGTGAATGAGCACTTAGCTACTGTGATCAAATAGAAGAAAGACACAGGCAAGGAGCTCATGAGGTCTACTGTGAGGAGGGTGTGGGGGCTCAGATGCATGTGTATGTTGAAGTTATTGAGTGTTTGGTAGGGGACTGTGCTTCTCCTAGTGCGTAGGATGAAGCAGGGAAATGTGCATGTAGTGGAGGGGTACGTGGTATGTATCCATAAGCACATAAAAAACTGCCATTCACTGGGTCAGACTATATGTCCACCTATCCCAGCATCCTGTGTCACAGTGGCCATGAATAGATGCTGATGGGGAGATGAACAAGGCATGTCCAGACGTTTCCATCCTCTGCTGCTCTCTCGCTGCAGTAGGAAACAAAGGAGTGAAAGAAGTGCATAGGTAGCCATGCAGACATGAGACCTGCACAAGGCTGAGTAGAGCACATGTATATTACCCTGACACAAGAGTGCAGAAGAGTGCTAGTCTGAAGGAGTATGTTACAGTATGACAGGGGTGTATGGCTGTGACAGGGTATGAGCCAAATGCATTATTAATAGTCTTAATGGCTAGGGACAGAAGTTGGACATAAAGTGGTTTAAGGTATCTGGATCTGGTTTAAACCTGTAACAGAACAGAAGTTACGTGTGCATAAATCAGTTTCAAAATGGCTGAAACTAGTTTAAGATAAAAGCTGCTTGAATGTAGTATCGGACTTAACTGATTTAGGTCAAACTGGTTTATGAAACTTCTGTCCCAGTCCCTTTTCTGGTTCAAGTTAAATCACAGTCCCTCAGCATCCCAGCATGCTTTCCAGCCCTGGGCTGGGCTGTCAGACACAGAGAGCAGGGCTGGCCTTGCCCCTCTGCTCCCTAGCTGGACCAGTGACAGCTGGCTCACTGCCCCCCCACCCCCCGGGAAAAAACCCCTACTGGGTGGGGGTGGGGGGCTAAACGTCCCTTCTCCGAGTATGGAGCTGCCCTGCTCTGCTTACAGTGTTGGTTGTGACTGTGGACTACAAATCCCAGAGGCACCTGGAAGCAGGAACAGGAAGTGATGAGCAAACATACAGAGTCCTGCTGCTGTGAGTCTGAACTACAAATCCCGGAGACCTTGGGAGCAGCAGGAAAAGGAACGGCCCATGCTGGCTACATGCCAGAAAGCTGTGCTCTATCACCCCCTGGCTTCTGGCTTAAGCCACTGCAGGCATGTGGCTGCATTTCCTGAATCAAAAGTGAATGTCTGTTCATTTGCTTATTGGTTCAATCTTTGCAGCCTAGACTAACCTGCGAAGACTGAATCAATTTAGCTTTTTGCTTTTTGACTGTCTGTACTTAGCCCATATGTGGGCCCTGTATATGTGTGTGTGTATGTGTATGTGTGTGTGTGTATTGTGAGGGGGCAGGGTGGCATGGATGAACATTTATATTGGCATGAGGGGAATGTTTGCATGTGGAATGGTTTTCACAGGGAGTATCATTGTTTCAGATGGCTGGCTACATCAAAAGGCCTTTGTTAAAGAATTTTTCAGGAAAATCCCAATGTCTTTGAATTTTAAAATAATAAAAGGCCCACGCCTTACTTATGCAAACGTAATTTGGGTAGGAAAGATAAAATTTTGTGTTCCTTTTAAATACAGTACCAAGATTTGAATGTGTTAGCTTGCCTACTGCAAACAGTGCAGCTGCACTAGAGTGGCATTCTGGCCCAAGTAATTTGCCCTGTTGCTTCCGGGACCTGAGCTGTCTTGGGTAACTCTGGCACTGCATTGTGCTAGGTGGATATTTTATTGTTAAAGAAAATGTTGTTATTTTTATATTAGCACTGTCATGGAGAAGACCAAGTTCTGATGTTTTCATAGATACGGGATATAACTTTGTTTAAAAAAAAATAAAAAAATAACCAAGCATCTCGAGAGATTTTAGGTAACCACTGGTTTTCTGGTTGGTGGTCTCAGTTTACAGGAAGACAGCCATATGTTTTGGAAACAGTTGCCTTACTATGAAATAGCTGTTATATAGCTATTTATTTTTAATACCCTCAGTATTTTCTGTGGCTATTTCACAGTACTTACATTTCTTATGTGAGGATACTTCCATCTTTAAGCTCCTACAACCTGTCCACATTTATGGTGATGACCACCCAAGTTTAATAAATATTCTTACCATTTCTGCAATCCATTATTAGTTTTACAGTGCTTTAGGAACATTAGGTCATACCCCATCTAGCTTTTCCTTTGGGAAAGCGTGACTTACATAAATATTGTTCTTACAATGATCTGTATTGGACAGCAGGAAATGGAATTTGTTTAATGTCCTTTACAAGCATAAATAGACACACAAATCCTTGCTTTATAATTACTGTTTACAAAAAAATGTATGTAGCTATTCACTAGTTAAGAAAAGATGCATGGACTTTTCATTTCAAAAGATTGCAAAGCAGAATATGAAATAAGAAACTTTGCAGCAAGTTGCAACGTCAGCAGCTACTTTTTTCCCTTTATATGTAAAATTAAATCTATAAACCAGCTGCTTTATTTGCGACTGCCTTGTCTTTTACTCTTCTCTTTCAAAATATTAGCATAGCATTTATTTTGTCTTTGAATTGGTTTTAACAAACTAAAACATGAAAATAAACTACTCACCGCATTTGCTATACTTTGTTATCAGTGAAAGAATATAAAATAGATACATAATATAAAAGAAAACAATTCATAACATTTTTTGAGTAATGAGTAAGTTGGAAACATTTATTTGATGGAGTAAGATGACAGCTATGTGAAATAATTGCATCAATTATTATAATTGTAAACTTCAAACTATGCTCACAGAAGTTTGGTGAACATGGTCTGAGATTTGTTTGCATAGCTGGGAAGCCGTCAAAACTCCCTATTCCCAGCTGGTCACCCCAGCTGTTCCTTGCCCCCGACTATCACTCTGACCTCTGCCCTCCAATGCTATCAGTTGTCCATGAGGGGGGGGTTCTCCTCTGAGGTGTGAGTTCATTAAATTTAAACTTACAAGTGAATCTATAGGGGCTTGTTTGTTTCTATGCTCTCAGATCCAATGACAGGGTTCTTTTTGTAGACCTCTGAATGAACCTAACTACAGGATTTCTACAGCCCTGTGACAGATGATTTTTCTACAAATTCATCATATCAGAAAGGCAGCTGTGGAAGAGAACTTTGGCAAGAGGGTGTTTGAGTTAATTTGGTCTCAGTTTAGCTCACTGTTTCTCAAACTTGAAAACTGTGTACTTTCTCAGGAAAATGAACCCTGCTTCAGTCCTCATCCCCTTCAACTGCCCCATGTAAGCAGGAAACATGGAGGAAACTTGAATTGCCATAAAACAGGGGTGGCCAACCTGTGGCACGTGCAGTCTCTGTGAGGCACGGGGCAGACTGAGGAGAGGACAGGCAGCACAGTGGCAGATAGGGGGCAGGGAGCAAAAAGCAGAGCAGCAAATCAGGCATGGGGCACAGGGCAGGGAGCAGAGCAGAACAGTGGACTGGGCAGGGGCACGAGCAGTGCTGTAGCAAGGCGGGGCGAGTAGGGTGACTGCCTCAGGTACTGAAGCAAAAGGGTGCCAACAGGCTCTGCCCAGCTGGGACAGGGCGCGTAATGGAGCTGTGAGCAGCTCGTTTGTGGGGGCTTAAGGATGGGGGGAGGGCGGCTTCTGTCGCTGTGTGCACTCCCGGGCAAGCAAGGGGGGGGTGTGCCCCCCAGATCTGTGCGTAGGGTTGGGGCGGGCTGCTGCTACGAGCTTTGCCCTGAGCGCCAAACTTTGTTGCTGCAGCACTGGGCATGAGTCAGGGAACAGAAAGCAAAGCAGTTGATTGGGGAGGAGAAAGGGATGGATTGGTACTCAGGGGGAGTGTGGAGCTAATTTGTGGCTCATCTGCCAAAAAGGTTGGCTTTCACTGCCATAAAAATCAAAAAAAAGTTTTGTTTGCACCTGAGAAGAAGAAAAATAAAGAGGTGGGTAAGAAAGTCCATTAATATCTTATCCATGCTCCAAAACTAAGTTAAGTGTTTCAAAATGTATTTGGCTGGTACCAGTTCCCAGCACTACCCTTGAACTAAGACGTCCCAGGATTGTAGGCTTACCTCAGGTGAGGCCAAATATTACCTGAGTGATTGGGTCCCAAATTTATGCCCCTTCAACAAGTACATGATCTTGCCCCACCCATTTAGATTATTTAGGTTCGGTTTATAATAAAATTTGTACACTTTGTGGTATGTCTTTAAAACTGAGCTGAAAAAACACTTCTCAAAATTACTAAGCAATTAGCATTTTATTGAGAGCTTATGCTGAAAATGTAGGATAATTTTATGACTGTAAGATCTTATTCTCCATCTTTCCTAATGATCATACAAGAAGTGTTCTGCTTTAAAAGAAATAACCAATTTGTCTTCATGCCATTTAGGTTGATATCACTGATGATTTTTTAATCTAGGATGTTGTTTTAAGCTTGGTAATTTATCATTTTAGTAGTAAAACAATAGTGATGGTGGTAACTTCTCACTAAATTGAGAACATTGTCAGTTTCATTGATTATGACTTGACATACTCTTTTGTTGTTGAGACCAACAAATCTTCAGAGAATTCCTTTCAGATTACATATAAATGATGTGAATAGTGTTAACTATATCTCTGTAGTCTTTCACTATAGATGTGAATAATCAAGCATACAGTAATCCATACTAATCCTAATTAACATTTTTTTAACCATTAAGGTTCCCCAACCAGAGATGTGGGACCTTCATTAGGTCTGAAGAAATCCAGTTCATTAGAAAGTCTGCAGACAGCCGTTGCTGAGGTGACTTTGAATGGTGACATTCCTTTCCATCGTCCGCGTCCACGGATCATCCGAGGACGAGGCTGCAATGAGAGCTTCAGAGCTGCAATTGACAAATCATATGATAAGCCTGTTGCAGATGATGATGATGAAGGCATGGAAACCTGTAAGTAAACAATTACTCTATCTTCCATTTTAATTAGCTTTGAAGGATTACAAACAGACTTTTAATTTAAGCAGGGGTTAGATGCAAAGGCAAATGTCATGTAAGGATTTTTTTAAATAAGTCAAACTTCTCTTCATTATGATAGATCAGGCTATATAAGTGTTCACATCCTTTGCACCAGTATTCACAAATGGTGATAATCTGAAGTTACCTCTCCTTCTAAACTAAGAAAGTGAAATTAAAATGAGCACACGTATTTGAATGATGTATTCTGAAATGCTTCTGTAAAACAATTTATGATTTTGTTTCATTTAAAATTTAAGTAAAGGAAAAAAATAGAATTTAAGTTCAGGGAGATGGGGAATCAGCATGACAGAGTACAATCATGTGATATGTTGACAAAAATTAGCACTGTCCTTTAATTAGAATGACTAAGGCTGGCAGATCTAATAAAATATAAAGTTAATGACCAGCTATTACCCATCCTAATGAGCATTCATTTACATTTTCAGTTCTTTAACCCCAAGTGTGACCCAACATGTGGAGAATGTCATTAACATAAAAGAATCACTTCAAAGCTAACCTTATCATTATTGAACTATGTAAGAATAGGCTGGTAAAATGACAATCCACATTGAATGAAAATAGTATGAATGGTAAATTACCTCAATTAGGGGGTTGTATTAAAATTATTAAATTTTTAACCTTCATGTTGTACTACCTTCAAATTATCACCTACCAGAAGATTTTTTTTAATCAACCTACAATTATTTGAAAGAAATTTATCAATGAAGCAGAGTCTGGAAAGTCTGAAACGCTAAAATTATTAGCCTGAAAATGAACAAAAAGAACAAAGTGAATTTTTTACCTTCTCTGCCCTTACCTTTTGAATTACTTTTCATTTTCAGAAAATCTGTCCTTTAATAAAAATATTGGTCCTGTAATTGTTTTCATTAGATGCTATTTACAAAATTACCCCTCTTCTTTCTTAATATATCTGTTTCTAAAAATATTACATGACTGAAACTGAGATCATGTTGTCAATCAATTTTCTTAAAAATAGTTACAGATAGAATTAATTCCAACTCCCCTCCCCTTGGCAATTTCATGTATCAGTGATGCTGAATGCTGGTCTGGTAATGCTAGCTGTCAATCTATTGTTAACCAATGGTGGAATGAGAATGAGACAATGTGTAAAATGATCCTGATTGTTCATCCTAAGTGCTTGTCTAGGGTCTGTTGGGACATGAGACCATGTTTTTCTAAATGGTTTTGTTTGGTGTAAGCGAAATGACAGTAATTTCCTGTTTTAAGACACCAGATACCCGGGGCTCACTGGGAATAAAAGTTTCAAGTGGTTTAACCTAATTTAAGCAAAAAACAGACACTTAAAAGAAACATACAAAACTGTTATCATTAAACATTTTCTAGATTGTGTAGGCTTGACATAATATTGTGAGAGGTTTTGAACCTGTTACTTTGACTTTATTGCATGAGGTACTGAAATGCATATGGCTGCTACTATATCCTTTTGGATGGGTGCAGTATGCGTTTCTTAGTCAAATATATTCACCCTATGCAAGCCAGGCAACCTGCCTGGCATAAGGAGAAGACACAGCAGGTCCATGTGTACCAACCTATCTCAACCACTTATCCAGTTTGAGGAGACTCGTACATATAGACATACAGTAATCTTACACTCACAAGGGAACAGAAGTTGGATTGGGCCCAGTCAATTCACAGTGTCTGGCAAATAATGTGGGCTTTTTACACAATTGCCAGTCTTTGTGTACCTGGGTCAGGACTGGGTGTAATCTTATACTTTTGTTTCCTAAAACTTTGTAAAACGTACAAAATACCATCTCATAGTGCTGCCTTCAAGTGATTTTAATAGCACAAATATCACATCATCTTAAGTGATTCAGAAATGTCATAGTATTGTCAGTATCTGAACAATAGAAAAAAATATTTGAATTGCCAAAGTTCATCTCCTAGACTTTATACAGTGCAGCTTGTGGTTTCCCTTCTTGCCATTGAGGGTAAGAACAGTTGAGTCTAACCAGTCATACTGTGCTTGGAACAGAGTGGAACATCTTATCTTGGGATCTTGTTTCTGAGGGGTTTATAATAATCTTAATGTTGCATTTGATTGCAGTCTTTTCCATTTTATGTAAATTATATATCTCTTCATGTTCCAGGGAACTTGCCAAATGAGGTCTGCAGTTGGTCAAAGTTTGGACGCTCCTGAATAGCTATTTTAGCACCACTGTTAAATGTCTCGCTACTGCCATAACTGTGCCCTAAGTTTTTAAAATTATATTTAAATTGTACTTAAGTTATATTCAAATTTAAATTATAATTATGTTTTATAATTGTTTGAAATAAATGTTACTTGTCCCCATTACAAAATTCAAGCAACTTGGTGGTAGCCAGTTTGCTGCTGCCTTAAGAGTGTGTATTCATGTTTTGCTTGAAATTTTTCCTATTTCTCTTCCAAACATTTTAGAAGTATGATTGCTTTTCCCTGCCACTTAGTGGCCCTTGTTGGACTAGCAAAACAATAGCACTGAATTGCATTTATGAAGTAATTTTTAACATGTGATCATCACATTAAAAAAAAGACTCGAACTATGGAGATACTGTATGTGATAAAGGGCCTCTCTTTTGAATATAATTTCTCTCCTTGAAACAATATTTTATTCAAATAGTTAAAAATAGTATGAAAACAGATGGAAATGTCCAATTCTATGAAAACATTTTAAAAGAGATTTGATAAGGATTCTTCTGTGTTGTAATGGCTACAATCAGATAACAGTGGCAGAGTCGTGTGGGTGTTTAGTTCATGAGAATCATTGTGCTTGTTTTTTTTAATGGTTGGAATAGCTGACTAGGAGCAAAACGTCTATCTCTGGTGTGTTGTCTTAGAACAAGTCATTTGAATCTGGAGAAATTGGCAAAGCTTTCTAATCTTTGTTGACTCTAAATTGCTAGAGCCTACAGTTGCATTAAATATCACAATAAGTAGTCTAGAAGCTGAGTTATGAAACAGCTTCACATTAAGTAGCTTCAATTTCTCTTGTGTCTCTTTTATACTTTATGGCCTAATTAGGAGAATAGCTTCACAATACCTTCTTTGTAGATCTCTTTAACACATTGTGGTTTGTGAAATGACTTTGGTCTTTCAGCTTACATTGATGGTCTAGCATATCCTGAGTTAATTTTTCCCTGATATGGCCCAAATGGAAAGGAAAAAAAAAAATCTTTTATATTTCTCCTGTAACCTAATGTCATTACTGCAACTTGAGAAAAATTAGAAGTTTCATTTGTAGCTTGGGCTTGAATTTTAATTGGCTAACATTTGCATTTGTTCTAAACACTAGTAATTAGGTAGATGTTAATTGCTGAATGACTGTGCTACATAACATAGAAACTAGTTTCTTTGTGTCATGCCTTTTTAAAACCTGGAAATCCACTTATTGCAATGTGCCATGAGGGAAAAGATATCCTAGTTTGCTAGGCACAGTGTAGGGTGTGGTGCAGACTAAGAAGTTAATCATAGCCAAACAACTGTGAGCCTGATAGAAAAATATTGATTGCAGAGCTGCTGTGGAAAGAAAGCAATATTATCTCTATAGAATATGCAAAATAAATAATAAAGGGGGATGCATTGTTATGACAAGATGTTTAGCAACTTAGTGTAGTACAATCCCTTTAATACATGTTTAGGATTAATGTAATATGTGATTATTCTGAGTATAAAAACCATAGGTCAGAATTCATTCATCTTTAAAATTCTAGCAAATATAACTAAAGAAATCCATGACTCCTTTATTTGTCAGATTTAAATTTAGTTTTACTATTTTGTTCATTTGCAGTCACAGATCGTATAACTGTCTGCACCAGCAACAGATTTCAGGTGCAAATTTTTATGCACTGAACATTAAAGGCTAATTTTAAATATGGTCCTCTATGTCTAATGCTACACTTTTCATAATCAAGTACATCACTGAGTTCCATTTCTGTTAGTAAACACCACAACCCTAAAATTACTATTGTGGATATGTATATGAGAAGATTCCTGTTTAATTTTTTGTGCAATGAAAGTGCACCTGCAACTGAAGAATCATATAGGCTAGGGATAGACATTCAAAAAACCTGAGCCTGAATTGATTCAATCTTTGCAGGTTAGTTTAACCTGGCTAGGCTGAATCAGTTTTGTAATATGGCAGACATCCCGGAAATGCAGGCATGCCTGAAGTGGCTTAGACTGGAAGCTGGGGGACGCGAGAGCAGCCCTCCCTTCCTTCCACAGCACTGAGCTGACCTGAGACGGGTGTGGCCAGGCCCTGTCAGGATGCTCTGATTAGCCCAGTAGGGAATTGATAACAGTGTTTATCACTCAGTTAAGAAAACAGAGGGATATTACCAGCTACTTGTTGATTCTGCCTGTTGATTCAGCATGGACAATAGCCAGCATGTGGTCTGCTAGCAAGTACATAGACACCTCCTCAGCAAGGCAGAGGGGAGGGGGGGAATTCCTGCTTAGCGGGGAGAGCAGGAGCAGCTCCAGTCTCTGGAGCTGCAGCCAGGGAGCAGAGTGGAGGGGCCAGCCCTGCTGTGGAGCAGAGAGCTCTGCCCAGCCCAGAGAGCATGTCAGGATGCTGGGGCAGCCTGATTTTACTGCCAGGGGTCTGGGACAGACATTGCACAAATTGGTTTGACCCAAATCAGTTATGGTATGATACTACATTCAATCAGGTTTATCTCCAGTTGGTTTCAGCCATTTTCAAACTGGTTTATGTGCACTGAATATCTGTTCTGTTACAGGTTTAAACCAGTTTCTGATCACTTAAACTGGTTTATGTGTAATGTCTACCCCTAGCCATGATCTTTATTAACTCCTAGGATCTACAATGGACAAGTTAAAAACATGATTCTGATGGAACCCTTCCGCTCTTTCTGACGACTTAGGTTCCAAAACTCTAGTTTTGATTCAGAAATAAATGTTCTCTAATATGTTTGGCCTCAAATACGGCTCCTGGACTATGCTTGTTTTCTGTTCTTGGATGAGTGAGATATTTTTAAAGTTCTAAAATGTTTGGTGAACAAATCCAGTGCAAATCAGATGGCCCAGCCCAAGTGTTGTGGTCTTACAGAAGAACTGCAAACTGCTCAGCGATCTGCAGTCAAGTCTTTGAATCTTTAGCAACAGATAACAACAATAGGCCCAAAACTGTTTCTGTACCTTCATAGGCAGACAAGATTCTTTGGGTAAATGTGATATCTTTTATTAGACCAACTAAATGCTTGGAAAACTTGTTCTTTGTGAGTTTTCAGGTGCAAACATCCTTCTTCAGGAATAAGGAGAGTCTGCTGGTGCTATACATTTCCTCTGTGCCTTCATGACTCTTATGGGCCATGATCAAGCCACATCTAGTGAAGGAATGAAATGGTGGGGATTTCTTATCTTTTACCCCTTGGTTTCAGCTCTTATATAGGTTGTAACACAACTTCAGTGTTTCTACACTGCCAAAATGAATTTAAAACTCATCAGTTTATTTCAGGTCCAGAAAATAACACACTGTATGGGTTGACAGTGCTAATCACTATTTTGCAGTGTGGCTGTTTCAGCAAAGTATAGGAAAATGCAAATCGTTTGCTTTTTCATGTAAACATAATTCAAAGTATTTGAGGTACTGGCCAGCACAGTTTTTCCAGGAATGTAGTGTTATACATTACTCTGAGCTTGCAGGGATGCAGTTATTTTGGCCCCAAAAGATTAAATGGTTTGGGTTCTTTCCTATTAATCCATTGGAAATTTTTGCAATCTCTGACTGAAGACTCATTTAGAAATACACAGAAACACAGACTTATGTATACCATCATTTTTTATTTTGTCATGTAGTCTTGCAAGGTCTTATCCATTCTACGTTATAGAACCCTATTATCCGAAGCAACAAGTATTCAATATGGATTCAGATTCGGCCAATTCAGAGGAACAGTGATTCAATTTGGTGATCTGAGTCACTGTCCCAATTTGATTTGGCCGGATCATATTCGAAGATTCCGCGCCGATTTGGAGATTCAGCCATAGACTAAACAGGCAGCAGTCCTTGATCACACTGGACACATCTGCCTTCAGCTGGTAAGTCTGTTGTGGTGGGGGGGAGGGAAGGGGCATGGGGGGGAGGGCAGATCAATGGCCCCACAGCGAGGGAGGGTTTGGGGCTGGGACATTTCTGGTGGGTCCTCCAGTGGCTCTCACCCCTGGTCTGGGAGGTCATGGGAGCAGGCGTATGCCCCCAGATCTGAGCGGGCTGGGCTGGGCTGGGCTGGGCTGCGCTCCGAACGGGCAGTGGTAAACACTGGGAGCAGGGGCTATGCCCTTCCATGGCTTGTTAAACTGGGGCAGGGAGGTGTGGGATGGTGCCGCTGCGCTGCCTCAGACAAGTAGTACACAGCAGCAAAAGCTGCTCCAGCCTCCCCATGGCTCCCAGAGAAGCCGTGGCTTAGCCCCGGCTGGGCGAGCAGTGGCAGGGTATGGGGGCAGCCACGTGCATCTGGATCGGGGCAGGGCCGGTGGCAGGTGCTATGAGGAATTTTAGGGTGGCTGCAGTCCCCCATAGCTCCTGCTTCACTGTGCTCTTTGGGGTGGGATGGAGTCAGGGCCACAGCTATGCTCCGGGTTGTGGCTGGCTTCACCCACCCTATGGAGCACAGCCTGGTGGTGGGCAGTTGGGGCTAGCCACCTGGAACATAGCCCAGAGGCTGCCCGCCCTGCGGAGTGCAGGCCAGTGGCAGGCTGCTGGGGCTAGCCTCTCGGAGCACAGCCTGCCCCACATAGATCTGGGGGCACACTCCCACTCCCATGCCCTCCTGGACTGGTGGCACATAGTGGTGGGAGCCCCCCCTCCCCAAGTTCCATGCCACCCCTCCCTGGCTGGGCATCTTGTCCCAGCCCCAATCCCTCCCTTGCTGTGGGGACATTCATCTGCCACCCCCACGCCCCTTCCCTCCATGCACCACAACAGTTTTACCAGGTGGAGGCAGCTGTGTCCAGTGTGGTCAAGGACTGCTGCCTGTTTAGTCTATGGCTGAATATTCGAATCGGCACTGAATCTCTATGAATCAATTCGGAGGTCTCCTGATTTCAATTTGGATTCAGAGATTTGGCCACCAAATCGGACCAAATTGCCTCTGAATCGAATCGGCTACCAAAGCTCTACACAGCCCTATTATCCATTCTACATTATAGAGCCCTAGAACCTCTAGGGTCTTTGTCTCAACCAGTGAAAATTCTTTGGAGGGATAAAAGCTATAACACGTTCTAAGGGGGTTGGCAAATATTCATTTAATAGGGCCATGGGGTCTGACCCATGATCCCAACAGTGATGCCTCTTGCCATGCCACACGTGCATAGCAGGAGTTGTGATCATTAGGATCAGAGATCAGATCCAAATAGAGCCACTGTGCCATCAGGAAGCCCAAAGCATGGGTTTGCAAGTGCTAGATGGGCAGGAGTGGGGAGGGGAGAGTAGATTGATTTCCTCTATCCTGACAGCTGCAAGATCTTGGGATCCCACCCAGGGACCTAAAGGAAATGGGAAGCCTATCCCCATTCCAGGATCCCAGTGGATGTCTAAAACCGCATGTGTTGCTAGGCAACTAAACACTTAACAAATGAGTTACTTTCTTCATGGTTACCTAATTGTAATGTACATGTCCTGCTGAAAAAATTCCTATCATTTGTTTGAACCTTTTTCATTAACATTCTTTTCTTCACTCTTTTAGTGGAGGAAGACACAGAGGAGAGTTCAAGATCAGGTAGAGAATCTGTGTCCACAGCAAGTGACCAGCCATCTCACTCACTAGAGAGACAGATGAATGGAAGCCAAGATAAGGGGGACAGGAGAAAAGCTGGGAAGGATAAGAAGAAAGACCGAGATAAAGAGAAGGATAAAATCAAGGCAAAGAAAGGAATGTTGAAAGGCTTGGGAGATATGTTCAGGTAAGTGCTATGCCATCAGAGTTTATAAGAATATTACAGAATGGCATTTAATGTTTTGGTTATTTGTACTATGGTAGCTCCTGAAGACTACCTGCTGTACAAAAGATTTTTTTAAAGTCTTTATAGCACCATACTATGTTCTCCATCCAATGAATAGATTCACTGCAGTTCTTCTGAGAGGGGCAAAACAATTCACAGCCTGTTGGAGGCAGAGCTAAGGTCACTTTTGTGAATGCTCTAAGAGCTGTCATAGCCCTTCAACATGACTTGAAGAGCCTTGCGGGGCCTCTAAAGTATAGTAGCTCTCTTGGCAGCTTGTGGGCCGCTGTGCTGCTTGGTTTCGCCACAGTGCTATATGATATGAACCCACCCTCCCCTGCCTTTGTGGCATAGGCATTGCACCCTGTACCAGAGCTCACGAGAGGGTCCTTGGGAGACTATAGTGACACCTGTCCACCTGGCAGGGGTTACCACCATGAGGTGGTTTTCAGCCCAGGTGGTTACCTGGCACAGAAGATGCCCTTCTTCTTGGCCTTGAATGAGATGGTGTAGTTAGACGGTAGAGACCTGTCCATTGCACTGTGGGCAGGCACCCCTGCAAGTGCCTACAAATGCCTTCAAAAGTGAGGATCTTGGCTACACAATTTATAGTGATGGGGGATTGCTCTTGGGCTTTCTCTCTAGCTTGCTCCTTTGGCCTTTTAGCTAGGGATAGGTGAGCTTAGGGAGCATCTGAATTCCAAGGCCTACAGGCTTGGGCCTTGCATGCAGGATGCCTACTATGGATAATGGAGTATCTGAAGCCATAGGCTGAAGAGTCTGGGAGGCAGGATACTTGCTGGTAATAGTGCCACACAGGCTTGAAAGATTAAGCTCTGCTCAGTTGATAGAATCTGGAAGTGATTTGAACCAAGACACAAAATTAAAAAACAAACAAACACCAAAAATGTTGTTCATGCAGTGAAAGAACTCTCCTCCAACTGGAAAACTGTACACCAGTCCTGTACTTGTGCCTATCCAAAAGAGGCCAAAGCAGGACTGAAGCATTCACCCAGTGAATAAATACAGGTCTGATAGTTGTTTTAAAAAAAGGAATCCATCACAGCCTGGAACACAATTCTCAAGTGATTTTTATAAACTTTTGAGAGAACTTTGTTATGGGGAAAGGGAAGAAAGGAAGTTAAGTCTTCTTTCTGGCAAGGGTAAATATATTTCAACGACAGAGGATTGTTAAGTTACTGTTTGTTCTTTTGTGTATATATATATATATATACAGTGAGTCATTATTCAAATTTAACTTTGAGGCAGAGTATCATTTTAAGTGTTCATTAATAGTGAGTCTGTCATGAAAAGGTACAAATAGAGCTTCAATTTAGCTCAATTAATTTGCTATTTGTTACACTTATTCTACAAAGAATTTATTTAAGTTTAGTTAATTATCATTCACAGAAATGTTTATTCAAAAGTGCACACTACAGTGCAGGGATAATCTCATAGTTAAAGCAGTAGAAGTGGAAATTGGGTATATTTGTCATCCCACTGAGGTGTTTTGGGGCCCTGCAATGCACGTCCCGCTCAGTATCCTCATTTGGATGTATGGTGTAGCAGACATGGAGGGACAAAATTATTCATGTAGAAGACTTAAAATGCACTGGGATTTTTGCTTTAGTGTAAGTTCTTTCTACAGACTCCCATTTCATGATGTTTATTTGTGATGTAAATCACTTTCCACCATATAAGGGTTGTAGGTAGTGTGGGAAGTAAAATAAGTAGCACCCCTTGAAATAATAAGGAACAGGTATGAGGCTCAGCAAAGCACTTAAAAAGGAAGGCTTTTCTTTGTTCCTGAGCTTTCTCATCTATAAAGTGATGGTACAAATGGTATTTGTACACAGTGCTATGCTTCTCAGAGGTCCTGAAGCAGAGGCCTTGATATTACAGTACATATTCAGACCACTCGCTTTCAAAGAGTTCTATAGAGCAAGTGTCAAACAGCCCACAGGCCAGATCTGGTCCATGGAACCATTTCAGCCAGCCCACTGGTACTCCAGAAGTTGGGGGGCATGGCCAGTTGCTGAATTTGTGGTTCCTGAACCCCAGTGAACATGGCCATCAGTGGCAGGGGTTTGAGCAAGGGCTATGCAGCTACTGTCCTCACTTGCCCTGGTGCTGCCTGATTCCCTGACCTATGCTGTCACCTGATCCCTGCCCTGCCCTGCTGGTCCCACCCTTTGACCTGTGCTGCCCCACTAATGTAGATCAACATTTCTGGCCCTGGAACCAGACCTGGCTCCATCTCAGTGGCTGGTGGTTCCATGGACCCAAGAGACCCATGCAGTCTGGATTTTCTCCAGGATCTAGAGTGTGTTTGTTCCCCACACGATAGAGAGAGAGGGGCTCCTGCAAGTTGTCATAGGATCAGGATCTAAAGATTTAATGTATCTATGTTGCTCTGAGGTCTTCAGATAAAACCTGCTAAAGCAGTGGTGCTCAAATGTTTGGCTCTGTGGGCCACATTGGGCCCTGAACTCCAGAATCAAGCCTTGATTCATCACTGCCCAGCTCCACATGTCAGGATTGGGCTCTGCACCACCTCTGCCTAGCTCCATGTGACAAGATTGGACCTCCTGCTGCTCCGATAAGCCCTGTGCAGTCCTGTTCAGTCTCCTTCCCCTCATTTGCTCCCCACTGCCCCGATTAGCCTCATGCTGCAC